TTGCTGCCCATACCTCGTACAAATACCCCCGCGTGTTGACGGTGTAGCCCCTGCGGGCTGTTTCCCCAAAGTTAAGTTGGGCGTAAAGCAGAGGTGCTTTTCACGTTAGTTGGCGTGGCTGGTTTTCTGAAAAGGCTGCGCTTGCAGGTTCGTTCCTGCAGAGGGCGTCGTGGTTCCTCGTCCGTGGTGGCACCGCCCTTACTTGTTGTCTGCCAGCCTGCTGAGTGTTGACTGATGTTGTCATTTGAATTGCACTTCGGGCTGCTGAGGAATGAGCACCTTTCCACGTCTGCCACTGGGATTTGCTCTTCAGCAAATGGCATGTTCATGTCTTGTCCATTCTTCAATTCGTAAGAGTCACACTTAGATAATTTCCCCTGCAAAACAACATCTGGCTACCAGAATGGTGTCCTTTTTCTTAAAAAGTTTTAGTTTTTATATAGTGAAAATAGTTTTTTATACTTTCTAGTCTTGGTACTTCTTAGTCTTGGTTTAGAGTGTAGATCGTGTACATAGTATCTTTTAAGTTTTTTTTTTCCCAGAAATTGTATTTTTTACATTTAAGACAATTTTAGTTTCTTCCGGTGAATAGCCATTTAGTAAGTAACCCATCCTACTAACCTGGCTTCTGACCCCACCACACTCCTGCACCCTGAATCTTCCTGTGCGCACGGACCCGTGTGCCCCCACTGACCTCGTCTGCTGCGGCAAGCCGTATCGATCTTCACGCATGTTCCTTATGTTGCTTGTTCACCTCCGAGTCACGTCTGGAATTGAACAGATAAATCGCATATTTTTCTTTCAGAAGATAATTTAACCCACCGACTATCTTTGACACAGGCCCTTCCTCCGAGGCCGCCTGATAGGAATGCATGGGGGGCGGGGGTCATGAGGGGGTCGCAGGGAGCTCAGGGTCTTCCTTTTCCACTGCTTTCGGGTCAGTTTTCGTTGAGATGCGGACACTCAGGTTGGGAGGAGAAAATACGGATATTTGTGGAAATTACCCATTGTTTTTTTCTCAGTACGTTTTTTCCAGAATTTGTAACGGTAGAAACTGTAAACGATGCACACGGTGCGTGGCTGACTGGGCCACTGGCACAGACCGCATACGCTGCCAAAGGAGAGGCGGCAGCCTTGTCCCCGTTCAGATTCCCGTACGATGCTTCGGCAGCCTCAGTATGTCATATTAGAGAAAAAGTTGCCTTTCCCAGGAACTTTCTTTCTTTGCAACTTTCCTGATAATTAGAGCAAAGTAGCTTAATCTTCTTTGCCCTGGCTCCCAGGAACTCACAGCCAAGCGTGAAACCTGTTGATGTGTTAGTAATTCCTTACAGTTAGCCCTATTTTTTTTTCATTAAGTTTATCGTCACGTCAAGTCCCTGTAGAAATAGTGGTGAGACAAGATGAATACCGGAAGCCACCAGCCTGCTCAGTAGGTGGGATCTCAGCATTGCATTACGTGGAAGGGGACACAGTCTGATAGAAAACGTGGCCGGCCGGTCAGCGGTGTCACTTTATAAACAGGCTGTAAGAATTTTGTGTGAAAAAGAAACAGGGCAGTGATGGCATAGCTTTTAAGTGGCTTTAAGTTTCGGATGACAGCATATCATTCGACCAGAAAGGTCACCCGAGTTGAGGTGAAGACTTCAGCATGGCTTTCGATACGCCCTTTCTGTGTAAGAGCGCAGGTTTGCTGTCCAGGGAGACAGTCTTTTTGTGACATGTACATATGCACACACGCACTTTCCCCCCCAGGGACTGGGGCTGTATGCTGCTAGAGACATCGAGAAGCACACCATGGTCATTGAATATATTGGGACCATCATTCGAAATGAAGTCGCAAACAGAAAAGAGAAGCTTTATGAGTCTCAGGTACGTTCCACAGCCATCCTCTCTCTGTCATCGTGTCACCCAGACACCCTGCAGGGCAGGGCCGAAGCTGCTGGTCATCTAGGTGCGGTTTTCTGGAAGTTCTTGCTTATCCCCGTCAGTCTTTCCAGCCGGCAGAGGCATCTGCGTGGCTGTGACTGTCGGGCAGTGAGCCCGCTTCACAGGCAGCCCCCTCACTCTTTGCTCCCCATTCCTACCGTGCAAATGTCAGCTGACAGGTCGCTGGGGGGCCCACGACAGGAGTGGTCAGGGCGCGCGCGTGTCAGCTCCCTCCCAGCTCAGGCTTCCCGACGTGCCCTTGACCGTGGGAGGAACTCCGCTCGTCTCTTTCAGAACCGCGGCGTGTACATGTTCCGCATGGACAGCGACCACGTGATCGACGCCACGCTCACGGGAGGGCCCGCGAGGTGAGCAGGGGTCTGGCCGGGTGCCCTGTCGCTCCACAGGTCACTGCGCTCGCCGAGGCCTCTCAGGGCTAACAGGCCTGAGATACGTTTCAAAGGAGTTTTATGTAAAGCGTGTATTAGTCTCTCTGAGGGGAATAAAGAGATGTAATTAGACCTTTCCCCACAGACTGAAAGTTTAAAAACTTTCGTTCCGAGCTTCTTCTAGTTGTTTTACAATAAACGGCTCTCTGAAATGGTGGCTTGCAGATATATCAACCATTCATGTGCGCCTAACTGTGTGGCCGAAGTGGTGACCTTCGAGAGAGGACACAAAATCATCATCAGCTCCAATCGCCGGATCCAGAAAGGAGAGGAGGTGAGCGCGCGGTGTCCGGTGCCCACGCCGGAAGCCGCCCCGGGGAGGCCAGCCTTTGCCCCCGCCCCGCGTCATGTCGCTGCTCTTCCTCCACACGGAGCTCTGAGCGCGTTGACCGCCACCCCTCCGTCCCACGCGCTGCGTCCCGCGTCACTCGCGTGGCATCGTGTCCTCTGTCGCTGGCTCCTCCTTCCCCCTCCCCCTGGTCGTAGTTGGGCGGGATCCCTCTCAGTAACCATGAAGCCTGTCATTGAACTCATGATGGAAGATCGTCACGGGATCGCTGCCTCTGAGGGCTCGGGAAGCGCTGCGGCCCTGTGACGTCACAGGAAGGCGGGCAGGCTGCAGGCAGTTTGGGTGCCGTGTGGCTCTAGACCGCTCGTTGTCACGCTTGTGATCCGTACGCGCTCACAGGGTTTGCACGGCAGCGGACTTTCAGTCTGTCTGTCATTATTCTGTTTCCTTCAAAATGCTGAACTTGGCATTTCTGTGGTCTCACACGACTTTGGCCTGGCAGGTCACCTGGCAAGAGCTCATTAGTCTCAGTCGCCCCGCACACGGTTCCATACTGTCTCTGACCGGCCCGTCAGCACGTGCCGCGGCAGTGCCTGTATCTGGGCCTCGGTCCGGAGTTGGCGTTCCTGGGGCCGCTCCCGCTGGGCGTGTGGGTTTCTGGGGGACCGTCTCTTGTTTGGGGGTTGGAGCCCCCAGCCCTTCCTGAGTAGAGCTGTGGGATCACGCTTGTGTTTTTTAATCATTTTGGAATTCCTTTTTTAAAATCAAGAATTGACCCAAGTCCCGTTTCACACATCTTGAAGTACCTTGCTGCATAAGAGAGAGTACGCGAGAAGCCCAGCGGGCTGGGGACGGGGGGGCCAGGGTTCGTGGCCTCGGGCAGCTGCAGCTGCCCCAGGCCCCGCCCCTCCCTTGTTGAGCCTTCTCAAGTTGGTGGCTCCGAGAGCCCCTTGGAGAACTCAGCACATCTCCGACAGAAAGCGGCAGTGTCGTCATTAAGAGAAGCTGCTCGCCAAACACCGTGGCGTGTTCTGTCCCGGTGCAGAAAGGCGTCTTCCCGGGGGCGGCCGGGGGGCTTTTGTTCAGAGGGCCCCGCGGGAGGCCTGTCGGGGCCCAGGGGCTGGTGCTCTGGAAATCAGGCGACTCCCCACTACCTGACAGCAGGGTCCACGTGAGATGTTAGCGACCATTTGGTAACCCCCTAAATGCACTTCGAAATGTTCTTTTCAGTAAAGATGAAGGAGGTCGTTAGCTAGCAAGGGCGAGTCACCTCTGCTCAGCCCACCTGCCCCCTCGGCCCACAGGGACAGTGCGAGCTTTTCCTGCAGCCTCTCGGGGCCCTCTGTGCCTCCGGGGCCGGGCGGACGCTGCCGGGCTGGTTTCTCTGCCTCCCCTGGCCCCGCGGAACCCAGGCCCACGGGTCCCCTGCGGCGGAGGCCCGCTCTGCTGGCCGCCTGGGGGCCCTGGGCAGATGCAGGCCGGGGCCGCCTCCGGCCCTTCTCACTCTGTGTCTTTGCCGTGGGCAGCTCTGCTACGACTATAAGTTCGACTTCGAGGACGACCAGCACAAGATCCCGTGTCACTGTGGCGCCGTGAACTGCCGGAAGTGGATGAACTGAAAGCATTCCTTGCTGTCTCAGCGGGCGGCTTGTCCCTAGGAAGAAGCGATTCAACACACCATTTGGATTTTGCAGACAGAAAGATATTTTTGTTTTCTTTTTATGACTTTTTTTCTGGGAGTTCTGGTTCCTCGGCCGTTGAGGCGCAAGCAGCGCCAGGAGGCGGCCGACGCGAGCAGCTCTCCTGAAGCGGTTGAGGTTGACCAGAGTCACAGGACGGTCCAGCACTTTTGTTTTTTTTTCCTTTTCCTTTCTTCTTTCTTTTTTCTTCTTCTTTTTGTGGGTGGGGTGGTTTTGTTGTTTTATTAGTCTCACTGAGGAGAAACTTTTACTGGGGCAAAGAGCCGATGGCTGCCCTGCCCCGGGGCAGGCCCTTCCTATGAATGTAAGACTGAAATCACCAGCGAAAGGGAGATGTCCAAAGTGCTGGCCACAGCCTTATCTGAAAAGGGGCAGGCCCTCTAATTTAAAAATTTTTTAAATAAAGTAGACACCACTGAACAAGGAATGTACTGAAATGACTTCCTTAGGGATAGAGCTAAGGGATAATAACTTGCACTAAAATACATTTAAATACTTGATTCCATGAGTCAGTTTATTGTAGTTTTTGATTTCTGTAAAATAAGAGAAACTTTTTGTATTTATTATTGAATAAGTGAATGAAGCTATTTTTAAATAAAAGTTAGAAGAAAGCCAAGCTGCTGCTGTTACCTGCAGAACTAACAAACTCTGTTACTTTGTACAAATATGTAAATATTTTGAGAAAAAAATACAGTATAAAAATAGTTATTGACCAAATGCTACCAGGCTCTGCAGCAGCTCGGTGCTTATAAAACCTTCATAGGGATGTGACAATATAATTTTGTGTTATTAAATATGCCATTAGAATAACCAAAATTTCACCCTAGAGTGTTCGGGGTTTTTGGAAACTGCAGTCTATTAGTACTTGTTTTATACACCTTACTCTGGTAGGACAGAGCATATGCTATGGCTACAACTTTTATAGCTGTTTTGGTAATTTAAACTAATTTTTTCATATTATATTGTTGCATCCCTACTTCTCCAGTCAGGTTTTTTTGTGCTTACAATTTGTGATAACTGTGAATAACTGCTTAAAAACACACCCAAATGGAGGCTGAATTTTCTTCAGCAGCAGCAGTTTTGATTAGAACTTTGTTTCCGGCCATGAGGAATCATGTAACGTACAGGATCGCGTAGCAGCGGCTCAGATCTGACTCTCTCGCCTTCTATTAACACAGAAATTTAAGAAAAAGGGGGGGGAGGGGTCGGGGGGAGACGTGATTATGCTTGCAAGCTGCAGGACTCCGGCAATAGGGTTTTGGAAGATGTAATTTTAAAAATGTGTTTGTATGAACTGTTTGTTTACATTTCTTTAATAAAAAAACACACTGTTTTGTGTTTGCTTGTAGAAACTTAATCAGCATTTTGAACCAGGTTAGCTTTTTATTTTGTACTTACAA